ATTGTAGTATTCATACGAGTAATCATAGTAGAAGGAATATCAACAGCAGTGACGGACGTAGACGTAGTATTGGTGGTAGATTTTTTTAAGTGTAGAAGCAATTACAAATTTTGGAATCGAACATGTAATGGAACGTATGTTAAAACATACCAGAAGAAACGTGAGTAGTAGAAGCCGGCAAAAATCAGGATCTGAATAGTAAGAGCAGAAGCCGACCACGGATCAACCAGTACTATCATTAAAAATCGCATGCGTGCTAATAGTAATAGTCGTGGTATCAGTAGTAGGCTACTGGTAGTTGTGGTCGTAGAAACGATGGTCGTACTTGCTGTTAGAAAACAAAGAAAACACAACAGCAGTTGAGATAGTCTAGTCGTCGCTGTAATAGTAATACTAATGATCGTCGTCGTAATGGTAGTAGTACTAGTAGCCGTAGTAGTGCTAGTAGTACTGGGAGTAGCAGTGATAGTGATAGAAGTAGTAGTAGTAGCAATCCAAGTTGTAGTCATATTCATAGTCGTAGTAGTAGAAGTAGTGATCGCAGTGGTAGTAGTAGTAGTAAAAGCGGCCGTGGTAGCATTAGTCGTCGTAGTAGTAGATTACGAATGCTAGCAGAAGTAGTAGTAGTAGTAGTACTCGTAGTAATAGTTCTACTCGAAGTACAAGTAGTAGTAGTTCACAGGCCACGGAAGGCGATCGACCAAGTATGTGTACTATTAGTAACAGTTGTACTAGTAGTTGTAGTTATAGTAAAGGCAAAAGAAGAAGTCGCAGCAGTGGCATTCGCAATCGTACTCGTATTTGTAGTGCAGGTGGTCGTCTTCGTAGTAAGGGTATCAGTCATAAAAGCAATACTAGTAGTCGTAAAAATGGTAATGGTAATGGTAGAAGTAGTGGTGACAATCAAAGAGAAATATCCGTAGCAGTAGAAGTAGTAGTAATACCAATACCATTTCAATAGTAGCCGTAATATCACTAGTAGTAGTCGAACTTGCAGTAGAAGTAGTAGTAGTAGTAGTATGAGTACTGTTCAGAATAATACAAGTAGTAGTAGTGGTCGTGGCACTGATGGGGGTAGGAGTAGTCGTAGTAGTAGTAGTGGTAGTAGTAATAGTAGTGGTGGGAGATGTTGTAGCAGTAACGAGAGTAGAGGTAGCAATCGCCAGAACGGCACAACACCGTAGTAGTCGCAGTGGCGGCACAACATCGTAGTAGTCGTAGTCGTAGCCGAAGTAGTAGCACTAGCAGTGGTAGTAGTAGAGATTCCTGTGCGACTAGTGTTAGTAGTAGAATTTGTAGTAGCCGTACTAGTAGTAGTAGCAGTGCGATTCGTTGTAGTAGTTGTTGCCGGCGTAGTTGTAGTCGTAGTAATAGTAGTAGTAGTAGTAGTAGTAGTAGTAGCAGTAGTAGTAGCAGTAGTAACCGTAACAGTTTCGATAGTGGAGGGAGTGGTAGCAGGAGTATTAAGAGCAACAGTAACAATGGCAGTGGTCGTTGTAGTAGTAGTAATAGTCGCAGAAGTGGTAAGACGAGTCGTAAGAGTAATCGTAATAGTAAAACTACGGGCTGTCCACTGACCAAGTCGACATACGAATAGTAGTAGTCGTAGTAGTAGTGCAGTAGTAGTAGAACTAGTGAAACCATTACTACTAGTAGTAGTGGTGGCAATCGAAGTGGTAGTAATAGCCGTAGTCCTCGTAGTAGTCGTCGTAGCAGGTGGTAGTGTTAGTAGTCGTGGTAGAAGTAACAACAGTTGTGATATCATAACAAGTGTAGTAGTACTAATCGTAACCGTAGCACTACCAGTCGTACGTGCCGTAGAAGTCGTAGTAGATGAAGTAGTAGTAGTTTTGTTCATAGAGATAATCAAAGCAGCGGGGGTGGTAGTAGTATTAACAGCCGTGGTGGTAGCAGGAGAAGTAGTAATAGTAGGAGTAGTAGTAGTAATAATAGTCGTTCTAGATATTGTAGTAGTAGTAGTCGCCGTCGTCGATACATTCGTGGTGGTACTAGCTGTCGTAGAAGCACTTGCAGTAAGTGCGGTTCCAGCAGCAGTAGAAACAACAACAGTAGTAGTACTCATAGACATAGAAAAATCGTAGTAGTATGTAGTAGTGGTAGTAGTAGCACTCGCAGCAGTAGAAGTAGTAGTAGTAGTGGTAGTAAGCGCAATAGTGATAGCAATTGTAGTAGAAGGAATCGTAAATGTACTCGTAGTCGTAGTAATAGTAGTAGTGGTAGTAGTAGCGGTAATAGTAGTACTTACAATAGAAGTTGTAGTAGCACTACTACAGGTAGTTCTAGTAGTAGTAGTAGTAGTAGTCGTAGTAGTAGTAGTAGTAGTAGAAGTAGTAATAGTAGTAGTAGTAGCAGTCACAGTCGTCGTCGTGGCCGTCGCTGTCGGAGTACTAAGAATAGAACTGGTGGTGGTGGTGCGGAAGTAGTGGTAACGGTAGTAGTGGTAGTGGGACAAGTAGACGTAGTAGTAGTAGTAGTAGAAGAAAAAGAAGAAGTAGTAGTAGTAGCAGTAGTAGTACTAGTAGTAGTAGTAGTAGTAGTAGTAGTAGTAGTAGTAGTAGTAGTAGTAGTAGTAGTAGTAGTAGTAGTAGTGGTAGAAGTAGTAGTAGTAGTAGAAGTAGTGATAGGAATGGCAGTAGCAGAAGTACTAGTAGCAGTAGTTGTAGCACTAGTAGTACCAGTCACAGTAGTAGTAGTCGCATGATTAGTAGGGGTGCGAATTCTATTACAAGCGGGGGGAGTAGCAGCAGCCGCAGCAGCAGCAGCAGCTGCAGTAGTAGTAGTAGTGGTGGTAACAGTAGTGATCGTAGTCGTAGTAATGGAGGTCGTAGTGGGGTAGTATCAGACGTAGTTGTCGAAGTATCAGTAATAGTAGTCATAGCAGTGGTCGCCGTAGCAGTCGCAGTAGTAGTAGTAGTAGTAGTAGCCGTAGTAGCAGCAGTAGTAGTAGTAGTACTAGGAAGTAGTAGGTAGTAGGTAGTAGTAGTAGTAGGTAGTAGTAGGTAGTAGTCGTAGTAGTAGTAGTAGTAGTAGTAGTAGTAGTAGTAGTAGTAGTAGTAGTAGTAGTAGTAGTAGTGGTAGTGGTAGTAGTAGTAGTTGTTGTTGTTGTGAAAGAAATGGTAGTAGTGCTAGTTATAGAAGTAGTAGTCGTAGCCGTACAGACGTAGTAGTAGTAGTAGTAGTAGTAGTAGTAGTAGCAGTAGGCGTAGTAGAAGTCGGAGTAGTCACCGTACTAGCCGCAGTAGTAGTACCACTCGTACTGGTGGTAATACTGGTAGTAGTAGTCGTAGTTGTAGTAGTAGTAGTAGTAGTAGTAGTCCTCGTCGTCGTCATCGTCGTCGTCGCCGAGGTAGTAGTAGTGAAAGTAGTAGTCGTAGTAGTCGTACTAGTAATACTAGTAGTAGTAGTGGTTGTAGTAGTAGTAGTAGGAGCAGTAGTAGTAGTAGTAGTAGTAGTCGTCGTAGTAATAGTAGTAGTAGTAGTAGTAGTAGTCGTAGTAGTAATAGTAGTAGTAGTAGTAGTAGTAGTAGTAGTAATGATAATAGCAGTAGTTATAGTAGTCGTAGTAGTACTAGTACTAGTAGTAGTAGCAGTAGCAGTAGTAGTATCAGTAGTCGTACTAGTAGTAGTGGCAGTAGTAGCAGTAGTCATAGTAATATTAGTGGTATTCGTAGTAGTACTACTACTACTAGTAGTAGTAGTAGTAGTAGTAGTAGTAGCAGTAGCAGTAGCAGTAGCAGTAGTAGTAGTAGTAGTAGTAGTAGTGGTGGTGGTGGTGGTGGTGGTGGTGGTGGTAGTAGTAGTAGTAGTAGCAGTAGTAGTAGTAGTAATAGTAGTAGTAGTAGTAGTAATAGTAGTAGTAGTAGTAGTAGTAGTAGCCGTTGTAGTGCTAGGCAGTGCTAAGAGTTGTAGCAGCCGTAGTCTCGATAGTAGCCGTCGTCGCACTCATATCCGCAGAAGAATGAATAGTGCTGGTTGTCTCAATAGGAGTATTAGCCATGGAACTTCGCCGATTCCCGTGTGAGTTTCAGAGACCCTGCGCTACCGCCTACAGCCTGAGATTCAGCTCTGCTCGGAGGGGGGGAGGGCCTGCTCCGCCTGTGCTTCGCTGTCTGGGCGGGGCTGGGACATGCAAAAATCAGCCAACTTCCCACCCCGGGGGCCAGAGAGCCCCAGATGGCCGCCATATATTTCTCAGACGGCTTCAGATGCACCCAGGATGGCCTAGGATGCCTTCCCAAAAACGCCCGAAGAGGCCCAAATAATTAATTGTCGACATGCTTTTGAAATATTTGGACGCTTCATTCATTTCGGCCTTCCGAGGCCCCAGAGGCCCCCAAGATCGCCCCTGAGGTCTCCAAGATAGCCTCCAAGACGGCCTGAAGCGCCCCCAGAATACTCCCAGACGGCGCAGCGAGGCGCCCAAGACGGCTTCCGACGGGCCAGGAACGCCGTAAGACAACAAAAAAGGCTTCTAAGAAGCCCCCAAGATGCTTAAAGACCCCCTCAAGAGGCCTCCTTGTACGACGGCCTTAAGAGGCCCCCAAGACAGCCCCATGCGCATCCAAGCGAACCCCAGCACCATCGGGAGCGCTTCGAACCGACGCAGGCCACTGCAATAATCTCAGCATGCGGTGCATCTGGAAGAGGAGGAACGGAAGGATTCGGACGAGGCGCCCGAGGGGGAGGTGGAGGGGGGAAGCGGCGACGACGACCAGGAGAGCGTGGAAGAGCCTGGCGACGACGATCACCGCCTGGCCTGCCGCCGCCACGGGCCCTGCCCTGCTGGGCCCACCGAGTGCGCCCAGGGGTCGTGCGCATGGGGCGGGGGGCAGCGAGCAAGCAGACGCACGGGCTGGGCCGGCCAAGGGGCACCGCTCCAGGGGAGGAGGAGGAGGAGGAGGAGGAGGAGGAGGAGGAGGAGGAGGAGGAGGAGGAGGAGGTCCCGGCCTCACCTGCCGTGCCTCGCCCCCTTTCGGGCATCAGGCGGTCGAGGCGACCTTTGCGAAGAAGGACGGGACGCCGGAGCCGGAGTCGTCCTGCTCGCCCTTCTCCACCGCGTCCTTGCGCTTGCCCCACGCCTCGTGCGCGTCCCTGCGGCCGCGTTCCGACACCTCGCGCACGAGCTTGTCCACCTCGGCCTGGCTGTCCCACTTGTGCGGGTGGAAGGAGTACAGGAACGAGAACTGCGCGGTGAAGATGCCTGGCAGCAGGTGCCTGAGGTAGTTGATCAGGACGGGGGAGTAGCTGAAGTCCCCCCTGCCCTGTCCGTGGGGAGCGCTCAGGCCCTCTTCGGGCTTCCAGGGGAAGGTGAAGGTGTCCAGCAGCAGATCCGAGGCGATGCGGGAGAGGAACTGCACGGCGGCCGTCCGCAGGATGCGCTCCCGGTAGTACTCCTCGAGCGCGCCGGGGATCTGCGAGGTGTTGGTGATTGTGCCCAGCTTCTGCGTGAGCACGTAGCCGTCCTCCATGGCCTGGCAGCCGCCCTGGCCCAGGTTGGGCATCATGGGGTGGCAGGCGTCACCCATGAGTGCCACAGGCCCGTCTGCCCAAGACTTGAAGAATGAGGGAGGACGGTCGTAGAGGGCACGGTCCTCAATGACTGCTGCGGGGGTGGCATCGAGGAGGTCGAGGATCTGCTCGGACCAGCCCCAGAACCTTTTGCGTATGAAGGACTTCCTGTCGTCAGCCTGCGCCGGGATCTTCACGCTTTCGGGGATACCGACGAACGCGTACCACTGGATCCGCCCACGACCAACATCGGACGTCACAAAATACTGCTTGGGCCCCATGTAGACCTTGTAACCGACGTCGAAATAGTCTTCGGGCTCGTACACGGTCTCCCCCGCGAAGACGATGTAGCCGCTATAGGTGCAGCCAGAGCCCGGGCCCTTCTTCTCCTCGTTCCACATTTGGGCGCGTGTGGCGGACCAGATGCCGTCGGCGCCCAGGAGCACGTCCGCCTCCACCGTCTCGCCGTCCTCGAGGCTGATCTTCACGCCCTGGAAGTCGGGCAACTTCTCGTAGCCCGAAACCTTCTTCCCGTTATGAACGGTGCCCTCCGGGAGCGCCTCGAGCAAAATTTCCTGGGGACGCAGGAAGATACAGATACCGCTACTCCACGGACATCTCATGGGGTGCGTTGTGACCAGAATTTTGAAGCGAATCCAGCGCTGGCAAGGACTCCCTAGGACGAACAGCGGTGTCGGTACCTGTTCCTCCTCCGATCTCCTGCAGGTCGGGCCTGTCGACGACGCCCGTGTAGGGCAGCTCGAACATCTCCGCCGCGGACTTCATGGCGTCGAACGGGCAATACCACTCGGACCGCAGCGCGTCCACAAGGCCGTTCTTCCGGCAGCCGGTGAACGTAAAGCGACCCATGAGCTTCTCAAACAGGGGCTCGTCGATCGCCCGGATCGTGGACAGAGCGTTCGAGGCCATCTGGATCGGGCCGCCGAAGCGGGCGAAGGCGCCGGCCTGCTCCAGCACAGTCACCTCTCCGCGGAAGGCAGCTATATGCACCACCACCGTCAATGGCCAGGGCAATGCAGGGCCCCAGGATACTGCGCATCGACCATTGGCCTCGTGGTCAAGGTCACCTCTGAAAGCCTAAAGTAGACACATACGATAATCTTGATATGATAAATCGTGTTGAGCCACGGCAATGCAGGGCCCCAGGGCTTTGCACATCGACCATTGACCTCGTGGTCAAGGCCACCTCTGAAGGCCTACAGCAGACGTTGTCCGTCGGCAGCGAGGCGGGGCAATCCGCTCCAGCGTGACAGCGATGCAGGGGCACCACGAGGCGAATTGGCCGGCACTGCAGGAGGGGGGAGGGGGACAGGCAGGGGGCCGCCGGGGAGAGGGGAGCCCCCCTACAGTAGGCACATACAATAAGAGGTCTTGACTTTCTCTCTGTCGTTCTATAAGAGGCCTCGATGTGAGAAAAGCCGTGGGGAGCACTCCTCGGCGCTCCTCGAGGGCCCCGGGGTGCCCCAGAAATGCCATGGGCCCCCTGGGGCCGCCGGGGGGTAACAGACATTTCTGGGGGGGGGCACCTGCTGGCAGGCCGACGTCAAGCTTGGTGGGCCCATTGTGCTGAAGGGGCCCCGGGACACACGCACACACACAAACAGACACACATCCCAGAGTGCCCCATCTATTCCACATTTTCTGGACGTTCGTCTTCCCCCCCCCCCCACACACACTTTCCACATGTTCCCTATTTTCTCTGGACTCGATGATTATGTGTGTGTGTGTTTGTGTGTGTGTGTGTGTGTTTGTGTGTGTGTTTGTGTGTTTGTGTGTTTTGTTCTCTCCTGTGGTCCCAGGGTCCCAGGATGGCCCTGGCGTAGGATGGCGGTGGTGCGTGGGCTACCTCCTGCTTGGCGGCGCGCGATGGGGGGAAGTGAGAAGGAGAAGGACTTCTCCAATGCGGCGGGGCCTCTCAGAAGCCCTCCGTCCTGCTGCGAAGTGCTCGGCGTCTTCGGGGGAGGCTTCGAACACTTCTCAGGAGGCCAGAGGACGTCCGAGCCTCCTGAGAAGGCCCGCCCCCTCTCACTTCCCCCCAGGGGCTGGCCGCCGAGCCGCGGAACCTGAACGTTGGGGCACTTGGACAATGCCTTGGCAGTCACCAGGCCGCCGACGCCGCCTCCCGCGATCACGACGCGCAGCTTCTTGGCCTCGCTCACCTCTCGGGCTGCCCGGAGGCGCACCAGCGCGGCGTCGGATGAGAAATCGTGGGTCCAGGGCGTCAATAGTGGGCGCGAAAGGGACGAGGAGCAGGACGAGGAGGAGGACGGCATGGTCCTACTCCTCGCCCTCGTCCAACAAGGGGGGGTGGAGCAAGTCGTGGTACGGTGCACGTGCGCGGAAGAGAGCGGGAGGGGGCCAGGGAGCGGGATGTCGAAAGAACAGGGGGCCGCGAGATCTGGGAGACAGGCAGCCAGCCGGGAAGCGTTGCTGGCTAGTTACCTTGGGTGTGTCCCCGAGCCTTGGATCTGTCGAGGCAGCCTCGATTGCCCCAGGGAATAAGTGTCCCAAGGGACGAGTGGGGGACCCATCCGGGGCCCATGCAGTTTCACCCCAGATCCGTACTTTGTCGGTCCCGTGGCCCGAAACGGCCCCAGGAGGCTGCAAAAAACGCAGGAGGCCAAAAGACACAAAACACCTGCCCGAACGGGGAAGCGGGTCCTGAGGGAAACGGGTCCTGGACCCCGGGGCCTTCCCCTGCAGGGCCAGCTCTTCATCCCGAGTCGTTTTCTGGCGGCGGTCCCGGGGCCCGTCGAATGCCCCGAGTCCAGCAACGCAGAAAAACCTGGAGACCCGTTTCCCTGAGCTAAGGACCAGCTTCTCCCATAGCGAACCCCTGAACCCCGAATTTTTCAAACCTCGACCCTCAGAGGTCTGGTCTGATGCCGAATCGTCTTTGACAATCCCAAGGCCCAGTGAGCGCCCCAGAAACCGAGAATAGCGAAAAACCTCCCGTCGTTATTTCCGCAACGGGATGGGGTCTGTAGAGGCCTGCTAGATGGGGTCTAAATAAATTGGGTCAGAGGATCGCGCCGCATCGCCAATGCATCGCCGATGTATTCTCGATGCATCGGCGATGCACCTGCGACGTCTGCGATGCATCGGCGACATCGACGTGAGGAAACTCGGGCTCCGCATCGAGCCGCATCGCCGATGCATCGGCGATGCGGAGCGATCCTTCGACACCACCTGCTCCGACTTCATCTGGGGCGCCTGGAATCTGGGAGCCTGCCCGGCCTTCCTGCTGGCCGGAGCCAGCGCTGCTGGGCCACCCCAGTCCCCCATATATGGCTCCAAGCCGGGCTGGGTCGCCCCAGACATCCGCGGATGCTCTCACTTTTTTTAAGGCGTGGGCCTCGCAGGTTTGGGCCACGTCCCTTAGTCGGCGGGGAACGAAGCCGGAAGAGAAGGCCTTCGCGGCGGAACTTCTCAGAAGTCCTCCGGCGTTCTGACAAGTTTTCTGCGTCTCCGGTGAAGGCTTATAGCAATTTCTTGAAAGGCCGGGGAACTTCCGAGCCTTCTGAGAAAGCCCGCCCCTTCTCACCTACCCCCAGGCTCGCCGCCGACCCGCAGGGCCGGTCTGTCGTCCAGGATTGTCCTTTCACGGTCCCGGGGCTCGGCGAGGGCCCCCAGAGGCCGAAAAAAAAACAGCCCCAGACCGCCTGCCCCCGCCAAGCCGCCGAAACCAGCCCAAAACAAGCAAAAAGCAGCAACAGCAAAAAGCAACCGAAACATCCTCGGATGCCTCGGGCTTTGCGGACGGGCGGTCGCCTCCTTCCCGGCCGCGCGACGGCCCGCGAGCGCCGCGCGCCCGCGCGCGCGGCGCCCCCTGTGCGGCGCGGGGCTCTGCAGTCGGCCCGTATACCATCAGGATGCGCGCTAAAGGTGCAAGGGCCTTGGGCGCCCATGGCGACGCGCCATTGACGGAATTGGTAAATGAAGGACCGAGGAGGCAAGGATGCAAGGGTAATTACCCTTGGGAAGGTTGCCCATCCTTACTATGCGGGCTGATTGTATATAGAGAGACCCGACGTTTCTCGGGCCTGGCCGGCCCCCTTTTGGGCCACAACGGGCCCCTTGAGAGGCCCCCACCCCAAGAAGTACGCCACGCCCGACGCTCCTTGACGCCCCCTGGACCAGGCGAGGGCCCCCAGGGGCAGAGAAGCAGCTGCGCTCCTGGCACGACGCGAGGGCCTGGGGTCCGCCCGGCTTCTCCTCCCGACCTGCGCCGCCGGGGCCGGCTGCGTGCAAAGGCAAAGGAGCGACCCTGGGCAAGAAAGACCTTTCGCGCCAAACCGCCGGCGTCGCGATCTGTTCGCAGCGTCGACCCCCAGATGTCCGGAAGCCCCCCTGAGTCGTTTTGTTGCACGGTCCCGAGGCTCGGTAATGAAGGGCCCCCGGAGGCTGAAAATCTGGTGAGAGGCCTCCTGTCGCGATATGTTGTTCACAACGCGAGGGGGCCTGGGATGTGCGCGACTTTCGGGGGGGGGCGCGGGGAGGCCACGACCGAGCGCGCAAGATGCTGCGCTGTCACGTGTCGCTGACTGGGGGATGGCCTTCCCCCTCCAGCCCTGCGCCCCCCCCCGGCAACGCCGGAGTGAACAAACAAACAATACATACAAATCATATTTGTCTCTCTCTCTCTCTCTCTCTCTCTATATATATATCTATATATATATATATATATATATATATATATATATCCAGCCGCATCGGCGATACATCGGCCATGCAGCGCGATGTCTACTCGGACCCCCTCGTGGAGGCCCAGGTTCGAATAATCTCCCAACGGGGCGAAGGGCCTGATTTCGTTTCGTCCTCTTTTGTTTCGTCCTCTTCCACTTTGCCCAGGCGACTCGGAGCGGACGAATCGAAGTGGGCGGAATGATACCCGGACGAACCGACACGACGGAAAACATCAAATTCTGACGACACGAAGCGGCATCGGCCTGGGGGTGGGGGGCGGGGAGGGTACCTTCCCCCCTCCTGCCGACCTGCGCCCCCCCTGCATGGGGAGCCCGCGACCGCACTCCGTTCAAAATCGGCCCCTGCCCAGATCATCTGCGACCGGCTTAACTCGGTAGCGGTTTTCTGGGTCGTCGATTTCAGGTCGCGACCGGAACTTGCATTTTAGCATCATTTCGACGTGATCGAAAACCGTTGTTTCTGGGACCTTTGAATTTCGGTATTGGTAACGCGAATTTCGGTAGCGATCGCGGCGCAAAATTCGGTATCGTCGAGCGCGAATTTCGGTAGCGGATCAGGTAGGGATGACGAATGATGGTGATCAAAATCAGGGAATGATGATGTTGATTTGTCCGAATGTTTGGTGGTCGTGGTATTGATCGTAACGTACAACGTTGCAACGTGGTTCGCATTGCTGTTAGATACGTTGGCGCCAACGTCGTTGCACGACGAAATTTTGGGAGAGCGGGCCCAGGGGGAGGAGAAGGAGGAAGGCGAAGGAGGAGCAGGATGAAGAGAAGGAAGCGAAGGAGGAGGAGGAGGAGGAGGAGGAGGAGGAGGAGGAGGAGGAGGAGGAGGAGAGAGAAAATGAGAAGGAGGAGCGCGAGTATCTGCTCAAGCAGTGGGAGTCGGCACTAGTTCGGAGCGAGCCGCGATGGACGACTTCGATCCCGTCGCGGATACGTTCGGCGGAATGCGAAAGGCGACGCCGACGAAAGGCGACACGACGACGAGGACGAACGCGGCGAAGGCAATCGAGGAGTTGTCCGAGAGAGTGGAGGAGGCCCAACGATTACAAGATAATACGCAGCAAGAATACGCAGATCTGGCCCAGGAGAAAGAGGAGCTAGAGGAGGACAGGACGGGGGGAACCGATTTTGCACCAACGCCGATCCTGGCTGGGCCGATTCTGGGTCATCGGACGGCGCACGATCGACCAGACCTGGCTCGGCCAGCGGTCGCATGCGCCACCCTTGCGCCCGCGATCGGCCTGGCGTGGATCGACGGCGGCGCGAATGAAATCGGCAAGGAGAACATGGATCTCAAGAAAAAGGTCGCGATGCTAGAAGAAGAGTTGAACCAGAAAAAGAAGAAGATAAAGAAGAAGTCGGAGAAGAAAGAAAAGAACGAGAAAAAAACGAGGAAGGAGAAGAAAAATAAACCTCAGTGAGCGGGCTCGGCCGCAAGGGTGCGAGGCCCGATGAGGCCGTCGGGGGGGGGGGGTGATTAAAAAAAAGCAAAAAGCCTCTCGAGGCTCTCACGTTCTAAAGCCTCTTGAGGCCTCAGCCGAAACAAACGTAGAGTTTTTGTCCTATTTGAGGCCTCAGCCGAAAAATAACGCACCCAGGGCCGCCGACGACAGAGGAGGAAGGAAGAGGTGCAGTGTTCTTCGTCCTCCTCCTCCCCCTTCTCCTCCTCCTCCTCCTTCTCCTCCGTCTTCTCGTCCTGCTTCTCCTCCTTCTCCTCCTCCTTCTCCTCCTCCGTCTCCTCCTCCTTTTCCTCCTCCTCCCCCTCTGCGCCTCCCCGATCCCCCCTGCACGCACGCACTTTCCGCAACCCCGCCCCGCTGCGCCACGAAGCCGTGGCATCCTTGCCAGTTCTGCGCTGGCTCGGCCAGCCAACTTCCGTGCTGGCTAGTCCGAAAACACTCTCCTGAGCTCGAAGTCCGCTGCCCCCCTGGGGGGGGGGGCGCATTTGGCAAGCTCTATGTTACGAATTAGGTTATGCTATGCTATGCTACGCTATACTACGCTATGGTATGCTATCCCACGCTATGCTATACTATGCTGTACTAGTGATATGCAATGCTAGGCTAGATGTCAACGCTATGCCAAGCCATGCCCAAACTGTGCTATGGCGCAGTCTGTTGGCCGTGCAACGCAAAGCGAACCTGGAAACCTACCAATTCTCCAGCGTTCTGTGACCTTCTTACTAAATAAGCGCAAGTTGGAGCCAATCATGATGGCTGATGCTACTATGCTAATGTGCCGCATGAAATCTTCTGCCATGTAGCACCACATCGTCTTCGGGTTGATCCACCTGGCACTCTGGCCCAGGTGGAAAAAAAAGTGGTGTTTATTCACCGTGCTGTATTTATATTTGGAGTCAGACATGGCCTTGGAGGCCAAGGCTCCATAAAAAACCAGGTGTTTCTCAACGGCCGACCCTAATCGGGCGCTCTCCTCACTAGTCAGAAACATGCCTGCACCATCGATGATTTCATAATACTCGTTGAGGTATTTCAAAGCACTGGTTCTCCATTTGCGCTCGTCGGTGCCGTCGTCGTACTCATCGCGAACGAGTTCTAGAATAACTGGGACCAGGCACCTCTGCTGCGCTGCCTTTATGCTCTTCGACAAGAGAGGATATTCTGAATGAGGGCCTTCCACCTTTACGAAGTGCTTGAGTGCAAACGATCCGCGGGCCATCTGGACAACAGGGTAATCACGTTGCACTCTTCCCACTGGTCTCCTCCCTCCTCTATTCTCCTCCCCCCTCTCACCTTTTTCTCTCGGGGAGGGCGCTACTCTCGGGGAGAAGGGAAAAGGCGCCCGATGCATGCTCAGGACTGCCGTTTCTGCGCCGTGCATCCTCTATTCCGACCTCCTCCTCCTCTCCTCCCCGTTTCCATTGCTGCCCCTCCTCTCCATCCTCCCCTCCTCTCCTCTCCTCCACTCCTCTCCTCTTCTCCTCCTCCCCTCCTCCCCGTTGCCATTCTTGCTCATGCGATTCGTGATAGTTTTGTTGGTCGGAGGTGGCGTGAGCCAATTGAATGAAATCCTATGCTTGGTTGATTGGCGATCATAAATCTGTTGGATTCGAGTCCACACATACGCAACTGCATTTTTGATGCTCTGTCCGTGCGGCCGTTGCTCGTAGACCATCTCGCACAAGCAATTGCCTAACATGCGCGACGACACGCCAAGGTCGACACAATGCATTGAATCTATCGATAACGTGTAGGCGTTCACGCCCCACACTTTCATCACTGGGTGATCGAATTCGTAGGGATGCTCGCGCTTCTTAGACTTCATCCAGTGCTTCCTGAAACGTTCCTGGGGGTTTGTCGGATAGGACTGTTTCGTTGATTTTCCGACGGGGGGAGGGGGGCGCCGGGGGGGGGGGGGGGAAGAGGAGAAGGAGGAGGAGGAGGACGAGGAGGAGGAATAGGAGGAAGAGGAGGAAGAGGAGAAAGAGAAGGAGGACGAGGAGGAGCGACCGTGCTTACACGCATGCGTGCACATGCGAGCAAACATATTGACGACCCCCACATGCCCCTCGAAATAGTTTGGACATTGGGCGTGGCAATGTAAGCTGAGTTCGGGCATCCCGTTTCCTTCACGAAGTCGTTGAATGGATTCGTATCGCGATTTGCATCGCAAATCCAGCACGGCTGTGCTGAATTAGGCCCAGGGCACCCCAAGGACTGGAAATATTCCATGTCCCCTTGGATGCCGTAAACCCACCCGCGGTAAGGCTTAGCAGCGCTGCAAAGCCACGTGCCTTTCTTCAAATCCCGAGGGCTGCCAGCAGGGAATGGCCTGTCGTCCCAGTCTTCAGCGCCAAGTGGCGCAGCGAGCGCCTTGAAGAGATTCCCCAACCGATTCCAATGGAGGGCGGCCCTTTTCAAAACATGTGCTTTCTCTCTCGGAGGCGCTTGCTCCAACGGAGCAGGTCTCCGCCAAGTAAGTTGATGGACGGGCGCTCCTTTTCAAAATGCTAGGACGCGGCGGTGATGCAAAGCATTTGTTATCTGTAGTTGGATGCTTCCCCGATGCAAGTGCGTTCAGGCTCCATGCAAGCACCCGCCACAGGGATTTCCAAGTATCTGCCCCCCCATGGTGGGCTGCCTTCGATGTAATAGAATATGGCCAAGCCGCCATCAAATTACATAGATGCCGTGTCGTTCCCTTCGCTAGGAGACCAGTGAAAGTAGTTACGAGAACAGAATCATTCGCCATCATCTCGGCTCCGTCGCCGTGCAAGCGCAGCGGCACAAACCAATTTGCCCTCGTCTTAGCGGTCTCCCTCCAAATTGGGTGGCCAACGAGCTTGGGGTCGTTCCTCGGGGGAGGGGCAATGACAACTTAAGTTTTCACGTACCATATATCGCATATGCATGATATGTACCACGCGCGCAACACAACGCAGTGCAGATTCATACCCCCGTGCAGCTTACGATAGTCAGGACACGCACTTGCAACGCAATGCAATGTACTTGGCACGTGAATAATACTATACGTTTGACTTTGCCCATTGATGTCCTCGAAACCCCCTTCCAGAATACAGGTAGATCTGCGATGCCGAACAGCTCTTCGAATTCCATAGGGTTGTGCTCAAACAGGCTGGCGAAAAGATCGTGCGGCAAGATCGCCGACGCGTCGATATCAGAAACTTCTAATGTTTTGGGAACCACGTGAGGAATAGGAACCACCTCTGGTTCTGGTAACGTATTCCCTTTCAGATACATGTTGGTGAGCTCTTTGTGCAGGTTGCCTGGACGTGAGCCCCACGCACCTAACTGAGCGATGCGTTCAATTTCTTTGTTGTTGGTGCCGTCCTGATGTGCCGCCAGGATAAATCTGCGAGCTTCCGTCGCGTGGAGCCTGCCCCACGCCCAATGGTTTAAAACCAAAGTCGATAGATTTGAAAACTCCTGCCAAAGATCAACCAAAACTTACGTTTCATGGTAATCCCCTGGCGTAACGCATGGAGGCGCGTTGGCGTGTACAATTCAACGACAAAAACTTGAAACCCTGCAGACACTGCCAGGAAACAACCCACTAAACCGTTTTGGTTGATCGTCGGCTCCTGGGCCTCGACGTATGCATCGTTCGGGTCAAGATCATCCGACCCTGCGCCATCTGAATCGCTGGGCTCCTGAACGGGGGGCAACCGCCGCTTGGCCCTGCTGGCCATGGTGCCAAGCTCGAGCAGATCTGGCTGCGGCACAATGCCAGTCGTTGGCAACGTGCCTGCGCGCTTGGATGGCAGACCGACGCAAGCGAGAGAGAGGCAACTCACTTTGACCTCTACCCGAGCACTCGCGAGGGCCACGTCCTCTCGCGACTGGAAAGGTCGTTATAGATGGGGTGGCAAGGCACGTATCGACGCATCTCCTTAACCTTACAACAGCCCGAAACTCCCGAACACGATATCACAATGTGTATGGCATGAGTTTGTGAGGAGACTGTTCTCCAAAGGCCTTGCCACCCCATCAACTGCTATTGAACAGGCCTCTCACTTGCCATGAAGAATCTGGCAACCGATCGCAAGCTTGAACTGTTCCTGAGCATGAAGAAGGACCTTGGTCGCTGCGGCCACCTTGATCGTCTTAGCGAACTGGAGTTCCCCCAGCTGCTTCAAGCATTTGTCGCGGATCTCTGTCATGATCTGAAGAGGCGAAAACGAACCAAATGGTGGCGCCGACAAGGCCATTGGATCATCACGTTCCCCCTTCCAAGCTGCTGAGCACAGAAATCAAAAAAAAAACAAATAAATCTGCAGGCTGCGAAACTGACAAACTGACGAACAAGGCGCACGGCATCAACGAAACGCGTACCCACGCGCCCCACAAATACCTAGATGTTCAAACATTCCCTCCTTGAGCATTCGTAGGGGCCAATAACTCCGAGATGCCTCGGACCACAGAAAACAAAGCGCGAGAGCGCCGTGTGTTTCGGGGTGATCGGGCCGCCCTTGCACTATGCGGTTGCGTTGCTATGATATGCGATGTGCTACGCTAGATCACTTACAGGAGAAACGAAGACGAATCAGCCGCCTGCCTCCCCCTCCCCCTGGAATCGCGCGGCCTTCTTCGCCTTCGGCGTCTCCTTCTCCAGGTGGGTGCCCTTCGCGGCGATCATGGCGTCCATCATCTTCTGGACAACGACCTGGGCATCGGTTGCATTTCCAATCCAGAGGGCCAGCGCTCACGAGAATGTGTTCCAAAACAAAATGCAAGCAACGCGCGCAGCATAGACATAGACATAAGGGCATCAATCTACCTACAATGGGGTTGACAACATTGTGTACATAAATGCAGCAGAATGCCAGAACGCCGACGCAACTCACCCGACCTCGGGCCTCGCACGCACGCTGAATACACGAATTGCGAAGTATAACACATTACACAAGTCAAGCAAAACGGTGTCAATAGGATATTGGGCCGCCCGCGTGACCGAACCCTTCTCGAAGAATACCTTGGCGGTCTTCATGCAGTCCTCTGGAGTCTTGAAGTCGGACTTGGCCAAGTCAAGCTGGGGCTTCAAGAAATCGTACAGCTTCTTCTGAGGTGCCGATTTTATGGCGCACCTGCGTGCCTAAACCTCAATCCCAATTCTAGCCACAATGCGCAGCTCAAACAGTGCAAGCTCTTAACTACAACGCGAATGTAATCCAACTCGAACTACCATGAGCCCTGCATCGAGGGAGAAAACAAACGTGGCGTCTGACACAGAAACCCTCGAATGGCAAACGCAAGGGTCGGGAATGCCATCATGACCCCCTTCCGAAGCGCACGCGAATTCTATCATGGCGGAAACGTTCGGCGCGCTCTGTCTTCCTAGAAACCTGAATGCTAAGAGAGCAAAGCAGAGGGTGATTGCCTTATTCTGGCCGTTGCTGCGACCACCGCCGCCACGACCGCGGCCTGTCCCGCGCCCACCTCCGCGCCCGCGACCGTTCTTCGCCTGGGGCCTGGAGTCCTCCTCTTGGCCCGAGCCATCGGCCTCGTCGCCGTCAGACTCCAAGCCCAGGTTGTCGAAGTTCGCTGGTGGATGCGTTTCTGTTCGCGCGCAAAATGGCGAAGCTTGGTGAACGAGAAAACCTGAACGGCAAAGAAACCTGTGTTTCCAGACCCAAGGGTCTACAAAAACATTTGCATTTTGTTTTGAGACGGGAGCGATGGAAAGCGTGAGCGTCAAGCGCTAGAGTCCAGAATAAGGGCCAAGTGGATGCGCAAACAGCCAACAACCCGTCGCCTCTCACAATGTAGAATTCCGGCCTCAATTGAGAACCACCGAAGGCACAAACTACGAAACGCCATTATTCCTTCAGAGCATTTCCGTCTTACCAAACAAAAAATAAAAGGTTGTTATCCTGAAAGACAAGTCCAAGATGGCCCCGCATGGTTGAGCATTGTTTCTGGATGGGCGCGTTGGAATACGCGGAGCCGTGAGAATGCGCAAAAAGGTTCCCTCCTCAACCTCCTCCTCCTCCTCCCCCTTCTCCCCCCCTGGCACGCGCGACGCGCCCCAGAAACTCAAAGTACGAAAACAGGGTCCGTCTTCCAGGTTCTGCTTCATCTTGCTCTTGCCCATGCCCGCAACCATCTGCTGGAACGTCTCGCCCTCGACCTTCTTCTTGCCCTTCGCGGACCTGTTCTTCTCCTTCACGACATCTTTCTCGAACCCCTCGATGATCTCCAAAAAGAGCTTGCGCTTCGGGTTCCGAGGGTTCTTCTTCGCCTCGGCCAACATGCGAGGAAGCGGGGGTGCAACAAAGTAAAACAACAAAGACACGTGCACTAGAACACGTTTGGCCATGCAAATTATGAAGCGAATCGTCTAAGATAAGACGTTGAACACAAACGATGAAACCAACAGAAACATCAACCCCGACACCGAACAGTACCCAATACAACTCAATGCCTGCAGCATCATGTATCGCATGAATAACGTATGTGCGCTAGTGTATGCCGAGTGCAAGTGCGTCCTGAACAAAGTACCCTATAATCAAGCACGCGTGCAGATGTGCTACATGTCGGAGGGGGAGGAGAAGGAAGAGGAAGCCGAGGAGGAGGATGAGGGAGGAGGCAGGATGAGGGGGAGGAGGAGGAGACGAGGAGGAGAAGGAGGAGTGGAGACGTTTCGGCTCAAACAATCTAAGGGCTCAATCGCGTCGAATCGAGACGTTTCGGTTCTGCGTCTGAAACAACATGTCAGGGCCCCGTCGTGGCACTCGAGACGTTTCGGCTGGGCCCGTCCAAAATTGACTTGGCTCAAACGAACGTGGCGAGCGTGAAGCAGCATCTACAGTGTCACGGGGAGCGTAGATCAACGTCTACGATGTCATGGTTTGTTGCAACTGATACGGCGACTGTAACGTTTCGGCGGAAGGGGAAGGCCAACTGATAAAAAAAAAAAAAAAAAAAAACAAAAAAAAAAAAAACATCCTGAAGCTTACCGTCCTCGTACATCTCCTCCGCCTCCGACTCGCCGTACTTGTCGACGAAGTACTTCCACGGCTGGAAGGTGCCCTCGACCTTGAGCTTCTCCCTCACGCCGATCTTGCTGCAGATCTCCCAGAAGCCATCCCCCATTTCTGGATCCTCGGGCTGGAGCGAGCAGGCAGGACGCATGTCGGCTGCGGAGGGGGGGGGGGGGGGGGGGGGGCGACGGGCGGACGACGCGATAAGAAGGATCGCCGCAGGCGTCCTTGATCCACGCCATGAGGAGCTTCAGCTTGGCCTTGTTCTTCTTGCCAGGGCCGCTCTTATCGGCCTTGCGCTGGCAAAGTTAATCGATGTGTCATCCCTTTCTATCCTCGTGCGGCTTCCCCTTCTCCTCCTCCTCGCTTTCTTGGTCCCCTCTCATCTCATCTACCTCTCCACTCTCTCCGCCTCCTGATCTCACTATTGCGTGGGCTTTCTCGTTAGCTTCCTCCCTCGCTTCCCTGGCAGCTGGCCTGCGCGTAAGCGTCCTCCGCGCTGTCGTTGCCCGCCCTCTGCGTGCCGAATTGTCCGTAGAGGCGCCTGATTTCGTCGTGCGTGAAGATGCCCCTCAGCTGCTGAGGGTCGCTCGCGTCGCCGAGCGAGCTAGTTGCGGTTTTTAACAGAAAAAACTCCTCCCTCCTTCACCTCGCCCTTCCCCATCCACCTTCTCTCCACCTTCTGCCAATCCACCTTCTCTCCATCGCCTCCCCATCTCCCCGCCGCCGCCGTCAAGGCGTTGTTCGCGCGGCGGGGGCGGCTAGTGGCAAGCTCGGGCAATCCCCCATTGGCCAATTAACAATATTGTTAATTGGCCAATGGGGGATTGCCCGAGCTGGATATATATCCAGCCGCGTCTCGTTTGATTTCCTCGCGAAGCTGAGCTCTCCCCACGTTTTATCAGCGGCCGCGAGCCTGTGCCGCCACCGACGCGCAAACGCACAAAAGGGAAATCAAGGAAAATATGAGGTCCTGAAGAGGTCAACCCTTTCCTCGAAGCTCAAGCCCTTGGCCTTCTGCTTCAGCCTCTCGCGCATGACCCTCGAGAGTTTGTTTTTGTTGGCCACAGTGTAAATCAATACTGTCGGGCCCATGGGCGCGGGGAAGGTTCGATGCAACAAATCAACCGAACTCAGAAACCACTGTTCTGCCCGAGGGCACAAGGGACATTGATTTCGAAACGTCATTCGGCATGGGGTTCAATAAATTCAACACTCAACCCAAATGGTATGTGTCAACCGTTAGCTACGCCAATCCTCTGCTTGGGAGTACCGACGGTCTCCTCGATCGCGCTCCCCTGGTTGATCTTGATCTTCGCCGCCGCGGGCTTCTTCAGGGCAATCTTGACGACGCCCTTCCGAGGGATCACAACAGTTTGTAACAGAATGTAACCTTCCCCCCCTCTGGAGTCATGACCACTGATACAATCCGAACATCAACTATCACATTTGATCAAGCGACAGGAAGTCAATGAAGTATATATTGCCAGAACCAAGGGATCGAACGCAAACATGAATACTGCGAGCCTGTCTATCGCCGATAAATGATGTATAACAACTAACGAAATTGACACACGTGGACCACCTAACGACAGCGCCTTCCAACTCTGGTCATTGAGACACGACGCAGTAAAATAAAAAAAACAAAAGCCTTCACACCAGGCAGCTTCTTCGGCGCCATGCCGACGTTGTCGGAGCAGGTGCAGTTGGCCACGCAATACTTCGAACCCGATAAGCTCGAGCCCAGGGGAGTCTAAACACAGAAACTTGAGCCCCTCCGAAACAAATTGAGAGATCATCAGAATGCGGTGGCACCTACCCTGAACTCAAATGTGTGGAGGTCTGAAACAATAACCAAACTATTGTCAAAACATCAAAATCTTTGAAAGCAACATTCAACATCTCCTGGTGTTACCCTTCAATGTCGCACTACACAAACAAAAGCAATGACATATACTGAATGAGATGGATACATACATGTTGACATTGTGAAATGATTCATTTGGTAACGAATATACATTTGTGAATTATGATATTGCTGTTGCCATTTGTATGGGTTACAAACGTGTTTTGGTTGTTTGTCTACATCAATAAAATGAGAATGTGGTTTGTATTAAATTCTAATTCAGGATATTTTTTATGAGTAGATAATATATTGTATTTTATTTCGTATGATTCTGACAAAATCTATATTATATATATTAAATATGATAGTATTGTTAATATTAGTGCTTGCTGACGTTATCTGACGTTCTCTGACGTTTGCTGACGTTTACTGACGTTTGCTGACGTTTGCTGACGTTTGCTGACGTTTTCTGACGTTTGCCTGACGTTTGCAAACGTCAGGCAAACGTCAGAAAACGTCAGAAAACGTCAGCAAACGTCAGCAAACGTCAGCAAACGTCAGCAAACGTCAGCAAACGTCAGATAATATCAACCATAGTAATGCTATATAATTAAATATGTTGTTTAATTAAATATATAAATACACAATATTATATTATATAATAACAAATCAAAACAACAATTACATCTTATATATAAGTATAGTCATGGTGGTAGCTAGTTTGATTTATTTTTAAATTACATTCAATTGTATCAAGCTACGTTATTATGTTGTTTGTATTGGTTGTGTGTATGTTGAATGTATGACCCATGGTATTCTCAGAAATTGAATACAATCGATTCAAATAAATTGAAGGCCATTGTTATTTCTATCTCAAAATTGGATTTATTGGATATTATACGCATGCACGTGGAAACTAATTGCACACCTCAATGCAATCTTCAATGCTACAATGAATTTCATGGATCTGCATTGCGATTCAAACTTGAATGGGTATTCTGATTGTGCGCATCACCAACCTGCCAGCCCATTCCCGTCAACGACCTGCCAGCCCATTTCACTCACCGACCTGTCAGCCTATTCCCGTCATCGCCCTGCCAGCCAAACGAATGCCCCTGTGGGGATCATACTATCATTATTGCGATCCAACGGAACCAACGACTGCCATTATTCCGCAGACCTGATCAATACTGGCGACTCACACGAACGTTGGCAACCCGAGCACCAATCTTCATTGAGAGACGTGATATCTGATAGAGCCACTCCTGAAGACGCGAAGAACATTGCAACATCACAAACAAATGGATTGCGATGATTTGGGATGAGATCAGCGAGCGCACACTACTTTGCTTGTTATCTTATCCAATTGGACGCGAGGCGGGGAAAGCTAGCATCTCTGTCACGCTGCGCGGGGGCCCAACCATGCCATCAACAAATTTGGCGTCAGCAAGAAACCGACGACCATGGTTGCACACGGCGTGATGGTGAGCACCCCGCTTCGGCGTTTCGTCGATGCAATATTTCCCCACCTTCGGTCAACTGCAACTTGAAATTGCGAGAGCACCCTCGCGCACACAAGCCCTAACAGCATGCGTCGCTCTAGCCTTGCAGTCTGAGGCTGGTATCCCTTCAGATTCTCGAACCCCTGGACTCCTGGGCCTGAAAATCTCCTGGAGGCCACGTATTCTGGCACCGAACGCGCCGTGAGGGTTGGATTTCTCGGAGCGAATGCATCGGCGGGGCCAAACGCATTCTATTTTTTAGATGCATTCATTTTCCCTCACCTCTCCCTCCCTTCCTCTCCTCTCTCTCCCTCCACTCCGTTCTTCCCTCCCTCCCTCTTTTCCCGTCCTCTTCTTTCCTCTTTCCTCTTTTCTCCTATGTCACACATTTCCTCCTGTCCTCCTCTTTCCTCCTGTCCTCCTCTTTCCTCCACATATCTTCTGAAGGTTATCGATGCCAGCGCCTCTTGCACCATCGAGCCTCGCGCTCGATCTGACGAACTAGGCCGCTGTGGCGTACTTGCGATCACGCCAGGCCACAGCTTGGGCCTTAGTAAAAGATTTCTTGCAACTCACTGTAATCAATTCTGAGAGGAGGGCCGCGTGCTCTGCGCACTTCTTCCCGCTGATTTCAACAAAAAGTGTTGTTTTGCTGTCCTTGCCCACCGTGAGACAGTAACTCTTCCCGTTCGCATACACAGTGGAGATCGTTCCAAGCACAGGATGCTCGGCAGACCTCACCAAGCTGCTCTTGTCAACGGCAGCCTTCTTGGCGCGCTTGATGTTTGCCTGGTAGGCTCTAGCTTTCGAAATACAATTGGCCATAGGGAGTTCAATCGAAGGCCTCAGCGTTCATTTCAACAGCCTCCTCGGCAATCCCATCGATACCCACGCCTCCTCATTTCCAACCATCCCTGACCTCTTCCTCCTCGCCCTCCCACTTCTCCCCCCTCGATATGCAATCGATATGTCCTGCCTTTCTAATCTCCGTCTCATATTGCCCGTTCGAAAGGAGGCAGTAACTTGTTTCATTCAAAACCACTTGGCAGACGTACGATAACATTGCAGCGTAGCGTAACACCACGATAACATTACGGCTGTGTAGCGATAGCATAGCAATAGCATGGGAGTTGCGTGACTGCTCGGTTTCTCACCGCCCGAAGTCCCAGAGACCGTGTTTTGTTCAAGCTTATTTGGACATGCGAATTCCTGGGGCATCCCCTCCTCGAGGAGGGGATGCCCCAGGAATCTGCTCTGCAGGAACGTGCTAGGGACAACGCCGACAGCCCAAGGACGCCCTCAGGTGCCCCAGTATCTCGCCAAGGGCGCTGACACGACCTGCCAAATAAAGCCACAGGCCCAGGGGGAAGGCGAGCAGAACACGGGGGGGGGGGGGGGGCAGGAGGACGATGTCGAGATAATGGTTGTGTTGTGGCAGATTTGCAAAGAGTGAAACGCAGAGGACGAGGGGCGAACGATGCAAACGACCCCTGCACCCCACAAAAGCAGCTGATGCGTCCTTCAGCTCCTTCTTTTTCGCTGGGATGGGCGCCATCTTCTTGGCGGACGCGAGGAGGGCCGTGTCGTCGTCGTCGCTGCCGTGGCCGAAGAGCTTCTTCTTCGGGCTCGGCGTGACAAAGGGGTCGGGCGTCACCACGCGATGCTTCTTGATGGCCATGCAGAGGGCCTGCCAGCGCGGGCGGAAGAGGAGGAGGTGATTGAATGGCTGTATTTACAGAGAGCCCACATTCGAACTTGCCTGTTTCACTCGACAATATAGTTTCGCGTCGCATCGCGTCGCGTCGATCGCATCGCACCGCGTCGCGTCGCAGCGAAGGCGCAGCATCGAATCGAAGGGGGAGGAGGATGGGGAGGAGGGGGAGGATGAGGAGGGGGAGGAAGAAAAGGAGGTGGAGGAGGAGGAGGTCGGGAGGAAAGAGGGGGAGGGGGAGGAGGAGGAAGAGGGCGCATCCCCTCGCAATGTCATACCGCCTCGGGGGGTAATGCTAGAAGCTGTTGTTGCTACTGCTGCTCATACCCTGACTCCTCTGCCAACTCGGTCCTGTGCCTCCTCTCCCTCGCTCCTCAGCGCAACTGCTACCGCCTCCATCTCTGCCGCCGCTGCCGACGTCGCGTCTGGTCTTCGGGGGAGGGGGTGGGGCGTCTGCTCGTCGTCTTCGTCGTCAGTATCGTCTTCCTCGTCGTCTTCGTTAGCCTGGTCATCCTCATGTTCCTCGTCCTCCTTCTCCTGCTCGTCATCCCTCCCTCCTGCCCTCCGTCGCCCATTCCTCGTCCTCGGTTTCGTCGCCACCGCGTGGATCGCTCAGAAACCTCTCGGGCGCTGCTGCCGCCCCTGCGGACGACCAAGTGATGGCACTGCCGCCCCGTTGGGGTTATATGGGCGGGAGGAGGGGCGCGGAGTGCAAGGTTTCAAGAGGAGATGAGTTGCGAAGACAATGAGGGCGAGGTGAGCATTACAGGGGCAATTTGCAAACCTTTGAAATATCATCAAACGTTTTGGCCCACGACATCTACCGTCAACCACGAACGCCTGACATGAGGGGGATGCGAAGGGGGAGGAGGAGGAATGAGAGTAGGAGGCTGAGCGGGATAATTCAGAGGAGGGGTAGTTGACGTTGAAAGACCAGGGCGGGGAAGGGTTGGGAGGCATGGCGCTGGACGGCTTAAAAACCTGAAACACGCATTAGGAAATGTGCCCAAACGTTCATTCAACCACGAATGCCCAT